CCAAAGTGGTAGAGCCCACCATTTTAATATTTATAACTTTCACCCATTAAAATAAGATTGTGGACCCCACCAATAACTCATCTATTTTCCATACTTTTCTACCACTACTAGCTTTATTCATTTTTTTATACTTTTCTACTACCACTAGCTTCATTCATTTTTTTTTTCAAAATAACATGTTGTACTTCTTTTTTTTTTCAAATATTTTATTTCTCCATTTGAATTTTCCTTAAACTCCTTGGGCCCACTCATCATTGTATGTTTCTCCATTTTCTTTCTTTTGTTTGACTGTTCTTTCCTTGCTTGGTTTTGCATCATTTCACACATTTGTTATAGCAGCCTGCTAGGACCCACCATGTTAAGACTTCTTGGCATGTCTTTCCTTTTCTCTTGTTTTTTCTTTGACCATTCTTCTTCCATTGGCAGTGAACTAGCGCGTGAAAAGGACAGCTGTGAAGGGGATTGTCGGTGCAATGAAGCATTAATGGAGAAGACCAAGTTGATGGTAACCTTCTTTGATGCGTTAATCAAGCCTTGAGTCGAATGCCTTCCTGACATAGATGAAGCTTACCACTGTTGCACATCTGATAGATCGTCTCGGTCAGAGAATTAAATGACTGACGACTGATTGGTCATGGCAGATTGGTAACCCTTGACTAATATGTCGACCACAGGGCGCTGATGGTGAAGAGACTGAGATGGACATCACACATTTGTGGAGATCTTAACATTATGAAGTAATGACTGACCCGACTTTATCTGCTAAGTTCGACTTGCTAAGTGTACAACTTAATGCAACTGGGGCCGAGCTCACTCATTCCTTGGCTCTTGTACCCAAACCCGTCCACCTTATCTACTTTTATCTATAAATTAAAGGTTTCACACTCATTTTTACGTTTCTCATTTTCTCGAATCCCTCCTTCCTTCTTCCTTTTCCAAAGTGTCTCCACTTTGGTTTTCAAATATCATAAACATACACTTTTTTTTCAAGACTTTTATCCCTGTTTCCTCTTCCTAGTATATGTTTTTCTCCACTTTGCCTCTTCCTTTTGCGAAGTATCTAGCCCCATATATATATATATATATATATATATATATATATATATATATATATATATATATATGTATAATTTTTTTTAATAACTTTTTCCTTGCACTATAGTTCATTCCCCACACCACTCTTATATATTTTTTCTTTTCTCATGACCGATCATCGTCATATTCGTGCGGGTCCAATACCTCTGTCTAAGGAGTGGTATCGCACCCCTTTTTTTGGTGATGATGTTGATCGATTTTTCGAGTACCTCCTTAGCTATGTGCCTGAGGGAGAGGAGCTAGCCCATCCATTATTTCTAGATATCCCTGCGCATCTTTATAGGGTCCCTTGTATCGATCATAAGTTTGTGTTTTAAATGCCATTGGCGAGGGAGATTACCCTTATTCTTTTATTGACTTTGAGACCTCATCTACTCCTTCTGTCGGCTGGCGAAAGTGGTTTTGACCACATTCTTGTAGATAAGCATTTTGTGAAACTTTGGAGTCTGTCGGTATTATTTATGTTGTAAAGTTATGCTGCAAGATTAGCGTCAACTGACGCAATTTCAGCCTATTTTCTTTGATTTCTTATTGGTGTCGTAAGACTCATACCTTCGTCACCGCTTGAGGTGAGTTTACCCCCCCACTTTGGAGGATGTCTTGGTACTGATGCGACTGCCCATTTTTGAAAATTTCATTTACCTCTCCAGAGATTCTACTCTTGTCGAGGCGGCCTATGTATCTTACTCATCTGAATGTTTTACTGATGACGCGAGGTTTCCTTCATCTTTCGGTGTTGGAGGTAGCGTCGATGGGCACAAGTGTACTTACACATCTTGGGTGAAGTTCTTTTTTAGGGACATCGAGCCTTCGAAGAGCAAGTGTTTCGAGCGTGTTGGCCAACATGGCCCTGGATCCCAGAGTGAACATGTCTTAGTTACCTTTATCACAATGTGGTTGACGTCATACGTTACACTGGAGCCCCCCTCTGATGGTATTAGCACCAGAGTTTTTCCTCTGGCTGCTAGGTTGGCTTGTGGTTGCACAATCCCTTTGGTTCCTCTATTTCTTGGGAACCTATATCTTCGTCTTGATGATCTGTAGAAGGTGACCTCAATTTCAATGGGGCGTTACGACATTAGTAGCTATGTCTCTACCTTCTTCTTGTAGCTCTTCTTACTTAAGCATTTCCCCAAATCCACCACTAAGGCCAAATGTCCTACTGATGGTAGTCCTTCTCCTTGGGGAGTACAATGGTCTGAATGCTCCATATCTAGGTCGGTGGGCCCCTTTTTTGATGACGAGTTACAATTCATCTTTCGCCCCTATGTGGTTCCTCATCCTATGGTCGAGTCGTCTTTCAATTACCATGTCGAGTCCACAACTATCACCGGTGATGCCATTGAGACTGTGGCTGACTACTATTTTAATTTTATTGCTTGTACTACCAAGGGATACCTTCCTTGCACTAGAGACAAGGGTATTGGAGTTGTAGCTTATAACCCACACCGGGTGGCTCTATAGTTCAAGTATAACTAGGGCGTTCCTTCTGTTCTAGGGGATGCTTCAAGTTATATTGACACCGTGCGCAACTATTTATTTCTTGACAGAGTCAGGCTACTTAGGGATAGAACTATCATTATTCCTTCAGCATCTAGGGCTGGTGCTTTTACGCCAAATTATTGAATTTATTGGGCTGTTATGGCGTCTTCATTATTATACTGTCCTAAGACTAAGGCTTGTGTATTGCCTTGAGATGCGAGCATTTAGGGCCATTCCTACTTGAGGAGTTTCACTTCTAAGGTGAAGACCATAGGGAGGTTTGAGCAAGTTTGCCCTGGTCGACCATCCACTTAATCAATGAGGTGTTATGGGATAGGGCCCCATAGAGATTTAGCCACGACGAGATCCCCTTGTTCGTGCTAAGAAACGCCTCACGAAGAAGTCTCTACGAGTTACCTTGGGGAAGTCTAGTGATGTTAGGTCTGCTAGCATCTCTCTCTCGAGTTGTCTGGCACAGAAGACCCAGTTGACGGCTAGTTCCCTCGCAGTCCATCATTCTTGTTGCAAACTCTCCTTTTTGTTGTCTGCAGAAGGTAAAAACCCCTTATTCCATTGCTTGGTGTTTTTTCCCTTTATATTTTTTCAATACCCATCTTTTTTAACCATGTAAATGCACCTATATATTCTTTCACTTGGGTCTTCTTACACGAGAGGCTCTAGAGACACAGTTTGTGGTCTTAGGATGTCCCTTGACACAAAGGTCACAATAGGTGAACCTCCTGTGACATTTGCTATGGCGTTGCCTCCCTAGAGGGTCTACATCGTTTGTGATTTTAATGATGACAATGACTTATGTATTATTAGCACTTTCATATGTGATATTTGCTACTTATTATGGTTGAGATACATCTATTTGATGATCTTTGGATGTTCATCCTTATTTTTAGCACAATATTCTTGCTATATTTGCACATTTATGACATGTTATTTTGTACAAAATCTTAAGGCTTGGTGTATGTCTTAAGTATGATTGTTTTGTCAATGAAGCATGGAAAGAAGACTTCATAAATGTATTCGATGAAAAGTTCATGAATTGGTCTCTAACTATGCAAAAATCGCGCTTGAAAGCTAAGCAAATATGGTACTCATGCCCCTAAGATTTGATGCACGAGTTTTGACCCAAAAAAACACTTCTATTTGACAAGGATTTGTTCCAAGGCCAACCCTAGATTCTCTAGTTTAAATTTGAGTTTATTCTTTTGAAAGGAGAGAATTCTAGATACCATCTTCTGCATATATATATATATATATTTTGTCTTTTTTTCATGTTTATGGATTGTTAAATCCCCAACTAAAGTTAGGGGAGATACTTTCAATGAAGTACAATATTTATTTTTGATCTAATGTTCTACTAATCCATGATTTATTTTTTAAAATTTAATTCTTATTTTTTAGTAAATTTTTTGCTCTATATAAGATTTATTATATCATATATATCAAATACTTGAGATTCCTTTTGAGTTAAATAACTGGTTATTTTATGCTTGAATTAATTAAATAAAATTTTTCATAAAATATTTAATTTCTTAATTGTTATAAATTATGGTTTATTTGTTGGAAAGCTTGATTTATTGTAGACTCCAAGCATGATGAATGTTTGTGATCTATAAATAAATTCCTAAATTTTTTCAACTAATTTATTAATTATACTTTTGATGTTTTCAATATTATTACTACTAAATATTCTAATTAAGATAACTCCTCGACTGATTCTCAATTGAGTTCAAAGACCGAATCATTAATAATTGTTGTGTGAAATTGAAAGGGTATCTTCGATACTTTAGTATTTTCTCATATTGTTTTAAAACCAATTTTATTCTTTTCCAAATCTCTACAATAAATTTTCAAAACAATTTTTCTTTTATTTTCCTTGTGTTCTAAGTTTTGTATAGTTTCCTGTGGTTCGACCTTAGAACAGTTTCTTGTGAGGGTGGAGATGTTTGTTCCCTATAGTTGACCGATACAATATCTATCTCCCAAGGAAAGTCTGTTTCTTCGTATAAGCCATTGAATCCGAATTGAGATTGCCCTTACATCCCTTCATTCGAGTTGTTCTTCGCTTTTTCACCTATGTCCTACTAGGATGTCTCCTAATGGTCGGGGTTTGTTGATTGTTTTTTTGGTCTTTTGGCTAGATAATGGCCTTGGTTCCGCCCTTACTATTTCCAAACTTTTTCAGTTTTTGCACCTCAAGTGTTCTCCATCCAATGGTTTCTTCTATTTTGCCAAGTGAGTCAAGCCAGATATCCTAATTGTTGGGACTTTGACTTTTCACAAAGGTTGGAAATAAATTTTTTTTTTCCGTCTCAGGCGATGCTTGGAAGTTGAGGGGGATCTTTCAAAGTCTCTCCAAGTCCTTCGGTTATGGGATGACCCTAAGAATTTGGGTGAGTTTGGTGTAGATGGGGTATTTTACCACTATTCTTATCTTCTATTATTGCTCCTGGCCTATCTTTATTTTGACTTATAGGGCATAGACCCATATTGACTTGATCTGAATGGATTTGAGTGGTCCTTGCTAGGAGCTCATAACTCCTAAGAATCTTGCTAAGCACAACCTCGGCCCCAAGGTGCCAAAGGAGCTTCCTAGCCCAACACGTGAGGGTCTTCAAATTGAGCAACATTTCTTTGGTAGGCTTTCACATCTTGTTTTATTCCTTTTCTTACTTCAATAGTGACACTAACACTTTTGCTTCTTCAGATCTGTCTTCTATGGCCCCTGAAAAAGACTTGGTGAAAGAGGCAATGGCCATAAGAAAAGAGTTTAGGAAGGGCGGTGGGTCTAGGACCAACAAAAAAAGGCGCTTGGTGACGGTTGGCAAGACTGATCTACTTCTTAGCACCGACCTCCCTTTGTCTAATGCGGTCAATCCCATGGACCGTCCTCCAACTTAGGATAATGAGCTTGAAGTTACTCCTCTAGGAAGATAAGAAAACCTCATTGTGGATCCATCTTCAGAGGTTAGGGTTACCAAGGAGATCAGGGTTCCCCCAATAGAGGTTTTTAGGGTTGGTTCTTCGAACCCTGTGGCCCCAAGACCTCTTGGTCTGCCTTTTATTCCCATTCCGACTAAGGATCATTCCTTCCTCACTAATGATTCCTTGGCTGCCACCAAACTAGTGAGCATCCTCCCCAAGTCTGACATCCGTGAATCGATAAAGCTCAACACTAGTGAAAAGGCTTCCAATGCACTTTTATGCTCTCGTTGGGGTATGATGTTTTTGCTGTCTTTTTTGAAGCATTCAAATCTTAAGGTTTTTGCTTAGGTATTATTTTATGTTTAATCTACCATTCATGCCAGTGCACTTCTGGGCCAAACCCAAGTTTATGAGCAGCAGTTAGAGGAGAACATGGCAAGCTGGAAGCTGACAACAAAAAAATTGGACTTGTCCTCTCAAATGGATTCACAGAAATATCTGAGTAATCTCTCGAGGAGAAGCTGACTAATGAACCTAAGTTGAATGTTGTTAGCTAAAAAACTGGCCTTTTTTGTTTTTCCTTTTGAGAATATCGCTAAATTTATGAGGAGTCTAAGATGGCTAAAGAGCCTGTGGACAGAACGAGCTGAAGAAATGGGTTCTTAGGGGAGAGGTTTTCATTAAGAAGGTTTGCATGGCTGAGTTGATCTTTTACGGGTATTGATTAGCACAAAATATTGCATATCCTATGTACATTTGCACACCCCTTTTGTTCTTGCTTCTGCGGTGAAAATTAGAGATATTGCATTTTTTGAGCTATTAACGAAGTTTCGGAAGGTTTGCAAGTAAAAGGGTTTAAATGGTGCATGTAGGCCCCTATCATGGTGCTTAAGGTCAATAGAGATGCGGGGAAGACTTGATGATGGCTTGGGAGGTGAAAAAACCAAGAATTTAACAAAACAAGTTAAAACATACTGGTGGGTTTGTCATAAAACTACTGGTAGGTTTTGGCTACTGGAGTAAAACGTACCGATAGGTTTGGCCATCAACCTACCGGTAGGTTTTGCTGATGCTCTGCTACTTTGTGGGCTCGTCATTAATTCTCCCATTTGCTCCCTGACACCTCTTACACACAGACATGTCTCCTTAACCCTAGCCTTGGACTTTGAAGGCTTGAGCATAGATTGACATTGTATTGCATTATAGAGAGAGAAGCTCTAAGAAAGAAGATGAAGTTCTACAAAGAGAACTTGATATTTTTGTATTTTCTTTCATCCATTCACTTGTATTTTCTTGTAAAACTTGTGTAAGTTTCATTTAATGTCTTTAATGTCATTTATTACAAGTACATTTCAAGTTTAGTCTTACATTTTGGATTTCACCATTGTGATATTAAGTTTTCTTCATTTTCAAGCTTTGAAATGGGTATTGAATATTTCTCTTCATAGTTTATGTTTTCTTGCATTGAACTAAGTTTCAATCTTCATTTTTTTACAATGTCTCTTCTATGTCTTTGATTTAGATATGAGTAGATAAACTTTTAAGTTGGCTAATCCAAGGGAGAATTCCTCTTGGGTATGCCAAATCAACCCTTTTTCATTCCTCCTCGTAGTATTTGATGAATTGGTTTGACTAGGTTAAGTGTGGATGTGGTTATGAGTTCTTGATACATCATAGACTTGTCACGGGGTATGCTTGAATCCTCCTCTCCCTTTTAGTCCCGCACTTCCTACAAATCAGTCAAATATCAAGGCATTATTGGAGGAAGATCTTGAGTTGATTTGACATTGCCATTGGAATGACCTCTTCAGATTAGCCAATACTTGTTTTCATTTTATTTTCATAAAGAACACAATTAACCAAACCTCAAACATCAAAGATTTTTACACTTTACCCTTTTCACCAAAATCACCTTCACATAAATTCCTTCCTTCCCTAAGGAGACGATCTTGGAATATAAATTTCAAGTAAAACATGACTCTCGAAAGTCTCTTTACGCTTGGAGAGCGCTTTTGTTCACACACACACACACATTTCATTTTAGACACCCGTTTTTCCTTATCTTGCATCGAACCTAAGTGAGAGTGACACTTACCCACACATCTAAGTCATAGACACATTGAAGGTTCATGTTCAGAGATTAGGACATACGACGAAAAATGATTCAAGCAAGTATTGAAAAGTCGTTTTTGTGACGATTATGCCTTGTCTGCACAATTGCACCGTCTTGGAGTATGGCGTGCGCCTAGATTTGTAGGTCGTTCTAATCCCACAATGCCATGCATCTAGGATTTTTGGTGCATTTAATGCACACCCCGTCGCATTAATTCTCCCCTTGGAGGTGAACACCCAAAATGACAAAAAAATTAAACTCTTTCTTGTGATTCTACATACATTTGTCTCATTTTGTCACCTGATTTCACTTGTGATAAATCTCTGCGCGTGAGTGTTGTTGTAGTAGAGGAACCCTCTGTAACCTTTGTTTTCCTTCTTCAAGCTTACTTGGGTACATTCATTTGTCACCCCAGATCTTCTTTCTTTTCCTAACTTTGTTGGCATGGATGCGAACACAAACAATAGCTTACGTTGGATATTTTGCTTCTAACTGTAAGCAAAAAAGATGGGTCACATTTGTTAAAGTCAAAATGGTGATATTTTTGGGTTTGTCAATTTGGTTAAAGCCATTTGCCATCTGGGCTTGGCTCGGGATAAGGTTATGGTACCATAAAAAATGGTACTATATTAAATATTTTGATAATATATTTTAAATGTGAAAAAAGAATAATAAAATAAAAATATTTATATGGGTTACATTTATATTAAAAATATAATTGTTAAAAATAAAATTTTGATACTCTATCTCAGCGAAATCCAAAAAGTGAAACTAGTGAAGTCAACTCTGCTAGATGCCTATAAGAAGCATGTGAAGCAATTTTTATTTTTTTTAGTGAAAATTGATCATAACTAAATCTGGATATTTTTTTTGTCTTCTAATCTAGATATCGTACTTTTATGACATTAAATCCACGTTAACGCCCTTTTTTTTTTTCTAGTTTTATACTTCAATCTAATTTAATCATATTTTTTTAATCATCAATGTGCCTTTTAGTGACTCACGCTATTCAGTCCTCTCTTCTCTCTCTGTCTCTCTCATTGCTTTCTTTCTCCCTCTCACAAACACACACAACCCCAATTTCTACATGTAAAATCACAAATCTAGGATTTGGAGAAAAGAACAACCAATCAATCACAATGTCAAGTTTCTCATTTTCCACCACCATCGTCATCTTCGTCGTCTCTTTCTTTCGATTTCGAATCCTTAATTCATCTTTAGTGCCGGCTTTTTTTGCAACTTCTGCTCTATCCTTTTCTTCAGATTCAGCTCCTCTGTAACTACTAGTTCGCCAATCAATCACAGGGATAAGTATTGGGTTCTGGGTAGATTTTGGTGGTTAGATCTGCTTTAAAAGAAGACATCTATATAGACGTAGAGAGAGAAAGAGAGGTATTAAACAAACAAACACAAGTGTATGGGTGTTATATACTATTTGTTTCTCTATATGGAAACTCTACTCCTATCTCTCTCGATATTTGATTTGTCTTTTCTCTGCACACATCAGATCTCAAAACGCTTGTAGGAGAAACCACTGAGCCTCTCGTGCTAGATCTTCCGAATTGAAGATTGGTGTTTGTGTTTCATACCTTGCTATTTAGTCAGGTATTGCTTCTCAGTAGTTTTCATTTAATCAAGTTGGGGTTGGAATGAAGGTTAGGTAGTTTTGGCTAGGATGTATAGGTTTGACTTTTGTTTCGATTGATATTTTTGTTTTTTTTTAATACTTGGTTTTGTTTCCTGGGTAGCTCAAGAATTTGGAATACATGCATTTGTTTAATGTTTACGACCCATTTTGCTTTTTTTTTTTTTTGGGTCAGGAAGCAAGGATAATTATATTACTATTTAAAAAGATAAACTACACAGAAAACAACAAAATAGGACATAAACAAAGAACATAAGAAAAAAGGATTAGAACGAGAACCACGGACTTCAAGCCATAGTCCTTTCAGCCTATACCTACTTTTCTCTCTGAAGAGATGATTCTTGTAAGACTCATCGGTGGATTCTCCATTCACTATTCCGGCAGATCTTTCTTTTTCCTGAGGGTAGCAATTGTATGAGTCACCCCATTTGTTGACCTCTTCACTGCCCTAAAAATTATTTGGGGAAAATTTTTCGCATATCCCCATAGATCCCTTTGAATTTGCTCAATGCATTGGATTGTCGCCTCAGGGCCTTCATTGATGGAGTCAATGGTGATCTTTGAATCAGACTTCACCACCACTGCGTTGTACCCCTTTGTTACTGCTATTCTGCATGTTCTTAGGATTGCTGCCGCTTCTACTGCAAGTGGCGAGGATGCGGGTAGGGAATCAACTTCCCCATGGATTAAGATTCCGTCCATATCACGTACAACTACTCCAATGAATCCCTGTTTGGTCCTCTCCATGAAAGCTCCGTCACAATTGATTTTGTGCCACCCGTATGGAGGTCGATGCCAAACATTGTTATCACCTTTGTTGTCTCTATTTGAAGCCTCTGTTTTTTTCCTTTTGATTAAAAAACTCAGTAATCGCTTCTAACGCTCTATTGATGACATGTTTTTGGCCCAATCATTTTTAGCCTTTCATACAAACCATAGTAGGTAAGCCACCATTGACACTCTCCATTTGGGACCCAAGTCCCTTTTCTCTCATCTCCCAAATGGTCACTGATCCACTCCTTTATCCTTGTGATCTGGTATCTGTTAGTTGTAATTTCTAGGGGTGAGGTTCTCCGCATAACCATTGACCATGGACATAGTAGGAACATGTGTTGAAGAGTTTCGTCCTCTTCACCGTATATTGGGCATAAAGGATTATTGTTCGGCTTCCTTTTCCAGAAAATCCACCTTGTTGCCACCGCACCATTCGCTATGTTC